GATATAAATGAGTTACATTCCTATGACATCTTTCTAGTCACGGAAACATCATCAAACTTCTCAACAGAGACTCAAAACAATTCTAATATTAAACATTGAAATAAATACATTTGAGATAATTATGTACTCAATGTTTGGTGGATGTTCAAAGAGTGTCGGTGGTCATAGTGGTGGTAGGTAAAATCAAGGAAAAAATGATTGCAAAGTGAAAACTGTCAGTGGCACCTTTTCCTACCACACAGCTCAACAAGAAACAATAACAAATGGAGTGGGCTCTCTGAGTGTGTTCAGATCATGGTGCTTATTGTCATGACTCTGTATATCATCACCTCGTGTAGTAGATTTATTATGCAACCATTTGTATTCGTTCATTCTTCAACCTGCTTTTTCCAGTTCAGGTTCTCAGGCGGATGGAATATGTTCCATTGGCTCAGGACACAAGGCAGGCACCAGCCCTGGCCAGGACATCATCCTCTTGCAGGGTACCCTCACACACACCCAACCCACTCACACTGGGACTGTGTAGACCTAACAATTCTTCTCACGTGCACAGCTTGGGATAAGGGAGGATACTGGAGTACCTGGAGAAAAATCTACACAGACCCGGGGAAAATAGGCCACGCACACAGTGGCCCTGGCTGGGGGAGTGATTTTTTTTTCATAACAGTTAGCAGGAAAGGCCTTTAAACAAAACATCACCGAAGGACCTGCTATGACTGGATAGATGGTAGCAATTTAAATATATAAGACGGCTCTATGTGTGTCAGACAATGGTTAAGTGTCATGGACAAGAGTGAAGCAAGGTCGAGGGAGCAGAACATGGCCTGACATGCAGTGGGGTTTGGAGGGAGATGTTCTAAAGGTTAAAGGCATAGAGATTAGGCAGCTAAAGTCTAAAACTCTGCTTTGTAAGGACTAGTATCATGACTTTCTCCACAAATATTCAGCACCAATTTCTGCGTCAGAAATATAATTAATATTAGTTAAGTATTTGTTTTAAAACAAGACATAATTTATTTTAAAGTGCCTCAATCTCTAAAATATTAAATGAATAAAAGTTCTTATTCCAATTTCAGGATTATTAGGAAATTTGAACGAACAGAATTTCTTTCAGTTATATTTCCTGAATGAAGAAAAGGAAGAGGAAATAAAAATTTTAGGTGGAAATAAAATGGCTTTGTAGGGTGTTTAAAAGTTATGTAGCAAAACCTCTGGATTTGGAAAAGGGAAGGGAAACATTTATTATACCTATCTCTTTTTCTGCAGTTCCCTGCTGAAGTTTTTCTGAGTAACTTGACTTGTATTTATAAGCTATGTGGTGAGAAAGAGCAAAATTAAGATTAAATGACACGTCAGGTGCACCTTTGATCCTGCGAGTCTGTGTATTCACTTAGCATGTTTCTAAGACTGCAAAGTCACACTTGGAGAATATGAATAAATGCAAATATATATATATATATATATATACACACACACACACACACATACATCCATACCTATATATTGTGGATCACAGATCTAGACTGAAGACCCTCAGACTGTGGCTGGAGTTATCAAAAATCCAAAAAGCAACAATAAATTACAGTGAGAAAGAGGCAAGAACCCAAGGCAAATCCAAATATGGAAAAGAAAGATCATCCAGAACTGTGTTACCTGTTTCAGATTTACCTACATCTAGGGTTGAATACATAGTTCCATGCATGACAGCCTGGCATTTCCTGGTGGTTCATAAGAATAAATGGGACACTTTTTATCATTAAATCAATTGCTCAAGATCTAGAGAATGTGGAAGCCTCAACAGAGTAAGCTAATTGTTATGTTTTTTATTTTTATTTTTATTTTTGAGACAGAGCCTCAAGCTATCCCTCTGGGTAGAGTACCATGGCATCATAGCTCACAGCAACCTCCAACTCCTGGGCTCAAGTGAGTCTCCTGCCTCTGCCTCCCAAGTAGCTGGGACCACAGGTGCCCACCACAATGCTTGGCTATTTTTTGGTTGCAGCTGTCATTGTTGTTTTGGCAGCCTGGGCTGGATTCGAACGCACCACCTTAGGTGTACGTGGCTGATGCCTTAGCCACTTGAGCCATAGGTGCCAAGCCTAATTGTTATGCTTAAAGTCTTCTTAAAGTTTAGGTTAATTGAACAAGAAAACATTTACAATGTTTAAAAAGATTTCTAAATGTCCTTGAATGTCACCTCTACGTATCTGATTTAATTTAACTGATTAAAGTTTTAGAAGTTCCTTGTTTGTTACTAAGAGAACAGAGTAAAGCTTTGTAGAAAAAGTATCATTTGAACTGCAACCTCTATATCCGTTTTCTTTACTCTCTATTATGTCACCACAATTATTTATTTGACTATTTTTCAGCATTTCTGTATATTTCAAGAAAAATATACTAAAGAGGGTGGCACCTGTGGCTCAAAGGAGTAGAGTGCCAGCCCTAAATGCCAGAGGTGGCAGGTTCAAACCCAACCCCGGCCAAAAACTGCAATATATATACACACACTAAAGCATATATATACACACACTAAAGAAAGGCAAGTGACCAAAAGAACATAAAAGGGAGTAGCTGTGGTGTAAAAAAAGAAAAGCCTCAAGACTTGATGAAGAGTCCATGTGGGCAAAGGAAGAGAGGGAGTCCAACCTCATCCCAGAAAAGCCTGTGAATTGGTGATGGAAGAGTGAGGAGCTCCCTTTGGCTAAAACAGAAGTTACAGCAGCAGGAGTAGTGGTAGGTGAATGGTGGAATAACTGAATTTACCCAGCTTACGACTGGGAGCCACTGACTATTGTAATGGAGATAAAAAGCTCAGTGACAAAAAATGCGTTTGGGAGTTTAAAATTTCTTTTTTGCTTTCTATACTTTTATTAAATTTGACACTTATTTGAAGTGAGATTTTTAATTCAGAATTTGTTTTTGGTAAAAATATTTGAATCATACATGTTCTGCATTTGGGGGTAGCCAAATCAGTCACTGTCTTTCATGTTTGTTTTGTTTATTCTTCTACACATTCTCAAAAGAATTAGAGGTGTGTGGGAGAAAAAAATTTAATTTAAGATTATTTTGAGTGAATTGACAAGCAATTTAGAATGAAGACAATAGCAAAGAGGAAGAAAATGGGCCAAAAGCCAGTTAGTAAACAAAATACCTACCGTAAGAGTCCATATAATTCCTATAGTGAAAAGTCTAACATTTTATTAACTAAAGAAAACATAGAAATATGATCATATATAAGATAAATGCCTACTAGTTACTGAGAAGAAGGGACGTTTCATTGACCACAGAGATTTCATTAAAAAAATCTACTATAAAACTATGCAAGAGCTACTCTAATGACAAAATAGAAAATCTCCCCACTAATATTCCTGCAACAAATATAGCCACTACCTTTATATGAGTGTTCTTCTAACTACTTTCAATTTCGGCTAAAATAATAATTGAAAAGCCCATTTCATAAAGTTAAATGTGTGGATTACATATTGTATTATGATATAAAGTGCAGTGGGAAACCATTCTTCCTCAAAGAGTTCTTCATCCAAGCATCACTACGTTTGAAATGAAATAACTTTATCCAATTAAGATATGTCCATTTCAGGAAATTCACTTTAAAGTGGAAGCATTCCTACAGGGCAATACATAAAGTTACTAACTATATTATTTTATCGCATTTGATTGTTTTCCTTTAATTTCTAAACCTAAGCTATCTGAAGCTTGCCTTACACGAAGCCCACACACCTGTGACAATTTGACTTATAAAAGAGACAAGATTTGGATAAATTCCAGGTCATAATTAGGAGTAGTCTCTTCCAATACAAGACCACGAAAATCTGATGTAGCCTCATTTCAGATCAATTATGTTAGACCGGCTCCTTGTCCCTCACGATGGGATAGATTGTATGTATATCTGCTGATGTTTTAGACATGAACTTTCATCAGAAATCACTTCTTTTGAACACTACGATTTGGACTCTTCTAGAGTAAGAAGAAACATGAACTTTTGTTCTTTCAAAGGATACACACGAGGGGAATATCCCTTTCTTCACAGTTGAAGGAAACAGGAAACAAATGCCCTATCTATTCCTTTACCACAAGTTATTATTATTTTTGTTTTTGAGCTCAAGGTTCATGTATCTCTGAACAGCTATAAAAGGGCTTCCTGGAAAACACAAAGCAAAAAAAAAATATGTGTCTCTACTCACATGGTTCTTTCCTACCAGAGAAAGGAGGATCACACACCGGCAGATATTGGAATTGTAAGCGTGGACACCACATTTTGTAAAATCATTGAACCCTGAGCTGACTTGCAGTACAAAGGCAGCCATGCAGGATGAAGATGGATATGTCACCCTAAATGTTAAAAGTCAAAAGCCAGGTCTCACCTCAGGTAAGTATGTCTAGAGCCAGCAATCTGGAAATTAATTAGTGAAATGGGTCAATCCTATATTCTTTTCTTCTACTAGTGATAACACATAGTTGTTTTTTTTTTTTTCCTGAATGATATTTTTTTCTCTGCAGCATCTGAGTGGTGTCTACAAAGGCTCATAGTGATTTATATAGAATATATACAAAAATATAAGCGCATGGAATGTTAAGGCTCTTAGAGTTCAATGCTGAAGGGCATAGAAGCAAAGAGATAAGGGAAAAGACTGTTTGGAAGCTCCATTTTCTCAAATGTCAGCAAATGGTGTGACTGTCCATTATTTATGGGGGTAGGTGCACCAAGCGTGAACAGTTAACTACATTTTGGCTTAGAGAAGGAAAGTCCATGTGGGGTATGGATGGGGTGGTGCCATGTGGGTATGGATGGGGTGGGATGGATGTGTGGTATGGCAGTGGGTGGTGCCAATTCATGGTCACCAAGGCAAGAGAGGTCACAGGTGAGATCTGCCAATCCAATGAAGCCGTTTATATGACGTGGAAAACCCCAAGAAGGCAGAGGCAGATGTGACCCTGCCCCAACTCAGCCGCACTGGCGGCTTCAACACATCTTTATTGTGTGCTTACAGGCGAGTCTGCTTCCTCCTCCTGGTGGCGTATGCTGGCTTTGATTCTGCTGGTCTTGTGCATGGGGATGGTGGTTGGCATGGTGGCTCTGGGGATTATATGTAAGTATTGACTCTGCCAAAGATTGGATTGAGGAAGGCAATACTGATGAATCACGGTGAATCCCACTGAGCCTCTTAATTGTCACTATTTATCTATTCGTCACTATTTCAATTGTCCTCTACATAGCTGTCAAGATAGTCTCAATCAAGGAGAGCTCCGACCTTTCCCTTTTGATTAAAATCACTTTTAACTTTTTTTATAAATTAGAAATTAGTTTTAAGATTTAAAACTGGCATTTAAATTCGTCTTTAGTTTGAATCAAAACTATCTTATTGAACACTTTTTTCCTCTCTATGTGTTACATATCTTAAAACCCAGCCAAAGTGAAGTTTTCTTGATTTCATAAATAAATCCTGTGTCACCTTGTCTGAAATTTTGCTCATTTTATTTGCTCTCTTTACCTAAAATGTCCTGCTTCTCATTCTGTTTACTGAAATCCTAGGTTTTATTTTTCCGGTAAGTCTCATTGTAGTCTGTGGGGTTGTTTATTTTTCATAGGCTATTTTAGAGTCTTTCATGCCCCATCTTTTATTTACCTGAATATCACAAGAACTTTAAGCATAACAAGAAATCAATGCATTTTGAAATGAATAAATATCTTAGCATTACCTAAGGAACAGAAAATAACAGGGGTCATTCACCTTTACGAACTTTGCTGAGAAATCTGTATCAATATCAAAGCAAAAAATTCTGTATTTAAGGGAATGGGCGGGTTATTGGATCTTGGGCTTGTCTTATTTGTTATTGTCTCCTTCAAATAGTTCACTTATTATTTGAGATGACCCTCAGGTTTTATTTTTGTATATTTATTAATTTGTTCTTTTATTCCTCTTCTCCCTTACCCCTTTTCAACTCTCCTTTACTCCGTGTGTCTAGTAAACTCTCCATTTTGGTAATTCTACTAAAATGAAAGTTCACTGAAGGATCTTTCTATCTTCCTTACAATGCTGGGGCAGAATTGTTATTGTCTAATTTTTACATCTAGCTGTCACACAGCAAAATTACCTACAAACTGAAAATGAACATCTCTCAGGAGCTCTGGAACAGTTAGCAAAGAACTTCTGCCAACATTTATCCAAACAATTAGAACCAAAAAGTAAGTATGGTTTGGTAATCTCTTCATCTTCCCAACTCCTGGAATATTTCTGTGATAGTAACTGGAAGAGCCTTGAGATCTGCAGGAAATAGGAATTGGGAAAATGTAATCCCAAAGAGTGAAATGGGTCTCGTGCTTGGTTTTTCCTTAAGGCCATAAATGCAGCCCCTGTGACGCAAACTGGAGATATTATGGAGATAGTTGCTACGGATTCTTCAGGCACAACTTGACATGGGAAGAAAGTAAGCAGTATTGCACTGACAGGAACGCTATTCTCCTGAAGATTGCCAACCAGAACATTCTGGTAAGGAGATCCTATGTGAAATATTTTAGAGATATAGGGAGAAAAATTTTAAATGTACCATTTGACCTTTTTTGTTTTGGGGTTTTTAAACATCGTTCTTATGTCTTTCAGCTTATGCCAATCTAACAACCTTATCAAATTTAATAAGAATTACAGAGCTTGCTGGGCGGGGTGGCTCATGCTTGTAATCCTAGCACTCTAGGAGGCTGAAGTGGGTGGATTACTTGAGCTCAAGAGTTCCGGACCAGCCTGAGCAAAAGCGAGACCCCGTCTCTACTAAAATAGAAAAACTGAGGCAAGAGGATCGCTTGAGCCTAGGAGGTGGAGGTTGCTGTGAGCTATGACTCCATGGCACTCTCTACTCAGGGCAACAACTTGAGACTCTGTCTCAAAAAAAAAAAAAAAAATTACAAAGCTCAAATACTCAATCCAGTCATGGTGTACAGAGTTGCTGTAATTGACTTGTACCTTCCTGAGAGCTACAGTACATGGGGGTCAGACTGGAGGAGTCAGCCCAGTGATGTTCATGATCATTTGTATCCCCTGCCATTCTAATCTGTTGTACCATCTATTTATCTGTTTGTGGGCTCAGACTTATAGAGAAAATGTTCACATAAAAAAATGAACTCTTAGGGCGGCGCCTGTGGCTCAAAGGAGTAGGGCGCAGGCTCCATATGCCAGAGGTGGTGGGTTCAAACCCAGCACTGGCCCAAAACTCCAAAATTAAAAAAAAAAAAATTAAAAAAAAGCCTCTTCTTTCAACTAAGGTAAAAAAGAAGATTTTCCTAAAATGTCACCTCCATTACAGAAAGATTAACTGGAGACATATAATAAGCATGTCCTAAATCTTACTACCCTAGGCTGATGCCAAGCTGAAGATTTATAACTAAAAGAAATAATGTAACATTTCAGAAATAAAGAATAGTTTAATTTCAGACAGAATTTCAGGTAGAATTTATCTGTCAGTTTCTACAGCCAAGTATATAATGTGGAATATTTCAAAGAATAAATCAGGAGTTAACAGAAAGTGTATCAGTGGTTTGAGCCTCAAGAAATAAGTAGTCAAAAGAAAAGAGATTTTTCACACAATATTGCTTGTGCAATGCCATTCCAAGTCTCATATGTTCATCTAGAAGCTCAAGTCACTTTTTCATTTGCCAAGAATGTATTCTTACCTATTATTCTGGCAAGAAGGAGAATATATGGGCATTTGGACTTCTTTTAATGTTGTTGTCCACAAATTGATTGATTGACTGATTCATCCATTAAGTCAACAAATATGTGTTGGGACTATTTCAGGACCTGGACCTATATTGATAATAAATCAAACAAAAACAAATCTTTACCATCAAGGCACTTATATTCTAGCCAGAGCAACAGGCAAGGAACAATACAATAAGTATGATAAATAGTGATGATTGCTAAGTACAAAAAAAAAATCAGGAAAGATAAATGTTCGTTATTTATAAATCTTCTTGAGAAAGTTATCAAATACCTCTCTTTCATGCAATCAACTAATACTTACCTATATGTAAGATTTTATAGGTAAGCTAAGCAATAAAACAAAAGCAAGTAGATGTTAAATCTAATGATTGTTAAATCAACAATGCATTTCTTGGCTTGGCACCTGTGGCTCAAGCAGCTAAGGCGCCAGCCACATACATCTGAGCTGGCAGGCTCGAATCCAGCCCGGGCCCACAAAACAACATTGACAGCTGCAACCAAAAAATAGCCGGGCATTGTGGCAGACACCTGTAGTCCCAGCTACTTGGGAGGCAGAGGCAGGAGAATCACTTGAGCCCAGGAGTTGGAAGTTGCTTTGAGCTGTGATGCCACAGCACTCTACCCATTTGAGGCTCTGTCTCAAAACAAAAACAAAAACAAAGAAAACCCAATGCATTTCTTTTTGTTTTTTTCTACCAAATAGTTGTTTACCATTCATCAAATATATTTGTAGTCTATTTGGGAGTCTAATCTTTGACTGATTTAAGAATGTATTACAAACATATAAGATTGTAATATTAGCAATTTTATGTACAATTTTTCCTGTGTATTACTGTTTTTTAAAATTCTAAATCAAGTCAACTTGGTATAATTATCAATATCAAACCATCAATATTAATATATACTTATAACCCAACTTTCTTTTTTGCCAAAAGTCTTATCTTGAAGCCTTATCTTTATGTCATTGTGGAGGGGAGGCATTCTGACCATTGTATTTGTATGTATGTCCTCCATAGGAATACCTGAAAGGTAGGACTGGTTTAATTCGTTGGATTGGATTATCTCGCCAGAACTCTAATGGGACCTGGATGTGGGAAGATGGCTTGGTACTCTCCAAAAATATGTAAGTCACTGGACACTCAGAATAAAAGACACTACTAGAGATTTATATCCCTGAGATCCTCTTTCCACTTGAGTACAAGATACTTAAAATCTGGGCAGTGTCTCTCTACCCTGCTCTGGGTATATAAGCAGCAGCTGAATCACTTACTTCTAGCCAGAGAACACTGGTAAGAAGACAAATCCACTTCCTCCTTTCTCCCATTCTTCTGTATTTTATCCAAGCCACAATCCACCTTTTTCTCAATATTTTCCCACTCATTCCTATATTCAACTTTATCACTGTAAGATCATATGTCTGTGCATGTGTGTGCGTGTTTAATTTGCTCTGATTCTTTCCTCACCTGCATTATTTTGTGGCTGAAAGTTATTACCTTGACTTTTACTTTGACTTTTCTGTATTATTTTACCCATTCTTCTATCCACTCCAAGAAGTAGGTACACTAGTTTACAAGAGAGTTCCAATGGCCATGAAATGCAGCTCCAACAGACAATGCTGGAAAGGGGGTCAATCACGTTAAGAGTTGAGTTGTTTACTACAGCTGTCCAGTCTCTAGTCATTGTATATCAAAGCTGAAATCTTTCTCCAATAAAAATTTAAACTGATAATTAAAACTTGTACACAATCTGATGATTACCTAAATTATTAATTAAGATATTCAACAAGTATGTATTAATTATTTGCGATATAGGTGGGAGCCCAGGATACCACAACTACAAGCAAGTGTCTTCACAGACCTTGGGCCTTAACTCGCTGCCTCATTTACAGGATAGTGGAAAAATTGGCATTCTCTCTCTTCTTTCAACAAATGAAAGTGGTGGTGTTATTGTTTTCTTACGGCTTTGGTGCTCTCTGCTTCCTTCTCAAGCTCTGTCTCCATAACTCCCTGGCTGTCTCCACCTTGTGACTAAAGTCTCTGTTTAAACATCACTTCTTCAGTGAGGCCAAGTCTAATTACCCAAACTAAACTAGCTTTCCTTCAGCCCTCGTCCACAGTCTATTGCACTGTTTTGCTTTCTCATAAATTTTAAATGCTGTCTGAAATGTTGTTGTGTATTTATTTG